TAAAAATATATATAAATGATCTTTCATGATTGTAGTAAAAGTTGCCCTCAACTTAGAATGATTTATTATAAATTATAATTGCCAAATTTCGATGGTCAAATGACAAAGGTCTAACAATAATGGATAGTGATTGAATGACGACGATTTGATAATAATAGATGGGTGGTGATGGAAATCATTGATGTTGGTCAAGTGAAAAATATGGTCAAGTGACGACTAGAATGACAATAACCGAACTACTATGGTGAATTGAATAAATGTGTAAAACTAGTGATGTTCAGGAGATCAATATCTTGTTCAAATGTATCTTTCTCAACGAGATTATGCTCCTCTTGGATGGAATGAGCAAAGACCTGGCCTCATGTACCTTTTGCCAATATGGTTACATCTATTTGGGAGGAAAGGAACAAAAATTAATTAATAATTTTAGTTTAGCAATTATTTGTTAGAATATGATCCTCTATTGCTACAAGTATGACTCATATTGATGACCACAAAAATACCTATTAAGTTCAGAAAAATGTGATACATTTTCACATATAGAGCCAAACGGTTGCACGTTAAAAAATTATGATAATAGAGTTCAAGTGTTTTTCATTTTATTCGTACATAATGATCTCACATGCAGACAGATGAAATAAAAGCATCACCCAAGATTTTTACGTGAAAAACTCGTGGTGGAAAAATTCACGAGGTCTGGCCCATATAGTTATTAAAAATTAGGTTATAAAGTTGCTCAAGAGCTCCCACACCTTGAATCATCTTAAAAAATTTCTTTTCAAATATGCATTGAGATCATAGAGTTCAGTAAAAAAAGAAATTAATGCTTAGATCATCAAGGCATGAATTGAATAAACAAAGAAGATATTAATATATAGCTTCAAAGCATCAATAGATACAGCTGTGAATTTATCAGAAATTAAAACAGATGTCTGATATTAGTGCTGAAATGTCAAAATCTATACGTTGGATTCTTCTAAAGTAATTCAGATATGCAAGGGTTTTTCAATAGCTTTAGTTATACGTAGGAAGGGACTGAAGTATTTAAAAATTGATGATGACTTCCGATGTATTAACAATTATTTACTTGCATATTTGGTGATGTATATGATAAATTATAGTAAGAGTCACCATTATTTGATATTATACAGTGCAAAAATGACGTTACATCAGATTCCAATTGTTGCTTGCACATTCATAACGTTGATGAGACTGTTCATATTTAAGATGTATATGAACTTAGGTTATACATGGGATTCACATCTCTAATTTATGATTATATATATATGAATTACAAAAGAATTCCTAATGGAATACGTAGGTGATCCAAGAAACCCAAATAATTAAAGAATTTAGTTGTCATATCTATATGTACATCAGAAACACAGACAACACGAACCTTGAAGAGATCCAATGGACTAAGTGACAAAGAAGTATAGCTAGGAAGGCCCACCGTCGAAAAACCAAAGGACTCACCGGCGGAAGGCCAAATGACCCATTGGCAGAAGACCAAAGAACCCACTAGCGGAAGAGCAAAGGATCTAGTTGACTAGGTGTAGCCCTCCCTAAACCAGAGTTAGAGGCTGACCGGATACGAGCCATACAGACCAAGGGCTGAACCAATCAAACCAAACAGAGGCATCAACCTACCTCTTGCCACAACCTAATTCAAGAGAAAAGTTCAGCATCGTCGACCACCTCAAAGACGCCTTCATCAAAGATTCTTCAAGGAGGGCCGATGATTGATAATGACAAGATCCATGCACATCTCCAAGGGCCCTCTTGTTGGTATGAACTACCTATCAAATTATGGTGATTCATCCTTTGTCTGATAGCCTAGTCTCATTCCGCGAACTGAAGCTCCTCAATCAGGGAACATAAGTCAACAACTAGAGTAGGATAGATCGATGGGGAAAACAAGCTGATCGAGCGAAATCCTACTGACCCAAAGTCAGTCAAAGGTTAACTGCTAATATGGACTCAACATAGTCGACCGAGGATCCTTGTCTTTCTGAAACCTACCAAGCTCAGTTGACCAAGCCATAAGGTAGCCAAACTATAAGCTTATATTTGTAAAATACTCAAAATTCTCTGTAAAAGTCACTTTAGCCTAAGGCTTAAGAATTTTGTCTTTCAACCAAGAAATCTTGAGTATGTGGTGCAAGTATGTTTGTGTGTGAAATATATTTATAAATTATTTCAAGAAGCACACATGATGAGGAGCAAACGAATGGTCACCATCAAGAGAGAGAGAGAGAGAGAGAGAGGGAGCACGCTTCAACTTAGCTCAACCAACCAAACAACTTTATCAATATATATTAGCCACTTTCAGAGATTCTTTGCCCAAAATATTCAAAGTAAAATAGACATAGCTACACATCCATAAACATAATCCTAAAGCCTTCCTCAATATCACTCCAAGTGCATGGCTTCAATTATGACAAGTGATGAAAGTAGGTTTAAATTTATATTAATTTTCTATTAGGAGATTTCCTCACCATTAATTTTTTTTATTTTTGCATCTGAATTATGAGTTGGGTCCCACAATCATTTATAAAGGATTACGTGAGGTTTCATGGAGGAAAGTAACATGTGCTGATGTGCTTCTTGTGGAGGAAAAGTCGTAGTTTGGTAGACTAAAACCACCACGTGTTTATATTCTGATGCATTGATGTTATTGCCTCTTTGGTTGTTGTTGACGAAAACTTCAGATTCGAAATACACTGTAGTTTGCTTGTTCGTGTTTTTAGTTGATGGTATGGATCACATCATGTTGTGTCATTCAAACCGTCATCCACATATTCAATTATCTGAATGTAATATTTTCTCCGATTTGTGCACACTTTCAATTATCTGAATAAATTTAATTGAAAATGTATCTGAATCATTGATTAGCAAATACAGGTTATTGACTTTTCACATCTAAAGCAGTGTTATCGAGTGAGAGAGAGAGAGAGTGTCTTATTTTCACACAAGATGGGAGGTGGGTAACAAGAGAACTAACCTCTTAGACGGGAGTCCATATCCGATTTATGCTTAAGTGTATATATTTTATTTTTGCTCGTCATTAAAATAAGATAAATACTTCATCTCTTCACAATATACATATTAGAATGACATATAAGCCAAATTTTTAATCTTTATTTGATCACAAATTTCAGCTTGAGAAATTTAAGATAGTGTATAATATATAAATTTAATATCTGATGAAGATTCACAGTGCTATAGTAATAATTATTTAGCTCGTAGCATTGCATGAAAAATCAGCACATACTAAAGTAATTAAAGATAAGTAAGAATGAGGGGATACATCAACTTTTTAGGTGGAAAACCTTTGAAAGGAGAAAAATCATGAGGCCTAGCTCATTTGAAATAATTCATTATGAATGGTGAGTACACAAGCTCACTGGTGAGTACACAAGCTCACTTGTGAGTACACAAGCTCACTTTTCTCATGAATTAGGGAAGATGAAATTACAAAGTTGTATATCCATAATATGGCTGTAGTTCTTGGCAACAACATCGTGGAAGGACCGTAGTTGGTTGTCGTGGAGATAGTATTATGTCGTGAGTGTTGTAGACAGTGACTTTAACGCTAGCTTGTCGTAGAATTCGCAGTTGATATCCATGACAGCAGTTGGCCAGGTGGGTCGTAGATGGTTGCTTCAGGAGCGTCAGTTGGTCATAGCGGTCGTACTAAGGAGTTGTGGGAACGCGTAGGTTGTATAGGCCATAGTGGTAAGCTGCAATAATGTTCATAAGACGTAGGGGCCGGAGCAAGAGCTACACGAGTTGTGGACAGTGTAGGTTTTAGTTGTTCACGTATGCCAAAGTGCAGAGTTCTAATGAAGTTCATAGGTTGTGCATGTCAGAGTTGGAAAATGCTTGAGCATATGTGAGGTGTGTCGTTACCTTATTTTTTAGATGCGTTGTTGCATTGTCTTTAAAGTGTGTTTTTACACTATCTTCGACATGCGTTGTTGTACCTTCTTTTAGGTGTGTAGTTGCATCGTCTTTTATGTTAGTCTGGTGTTTGGGATGATGCGCTAATTTGCAGGTTTTTTCAAGACTTCGTGAAATCATTTGTTGCTTTACACAATACTTCATCACAAGAAGGCAACGACTGATAGTGATCGACGACGACCAAGAAGTGGTGGTCGTCATTGATTTATGGTGGTCCGTAGCTACGAAAATACATGACAAATTTAGCTCCTTCAAGCTTCAGTATTCTTCATTTTATTTACTTGATATTAGTTAAATGCTAATTTAAAATTTATTCAAATATTTATTTATTCAAACTAATAAAAACAATTATTAAAAATCTTAAATAAAAAATCAAGTGTTTATTCAAATTTTTAACTTGTTTATTAATATTCTATGAAAATCAAATATAAAAATCAAGAACTCATTTGAAATTTAAAATTATTTTATAAATATAAATGGTATTTGTACATACCACATAATTCTTATATATTTTCATATCTAACACATAACTTTCATATTTATATACATACCACTGAAATATCTGACATCACACCAAAATATTACTATCACTAACTTTTTAAAGGTGATATATAATTTTTAATGCATAAGCTTTTAATAACAAAATGGTACAAATATGAATATTACATTTAGGCGTTAGATATGTAAATGCATAAGAATCATGTGGTGTATGAAGATTTAAGTTAATATAAGCAAGCCAAATATCAATCAAGTATAAAAAAAACGTAAGCAAGCCAAATACAAACATAACGTGAAAACTCGCTCAAACTTGAATCAAATATGAACTTATAATTCGACCAAGACAAGTCCAATCCATGGCATACTCGACTCTGTTTAACTCAACTCAACTCGATTACTTCACTACACGTGATTAAGACAAATACAAACATACATGTAAAAACTTGCTCAAGCTCGTATTTATATTAAAATCATTGCAGACAAAATGCACAGTATAATGCAGCTTGAAAAGAACAGCACAGCAGCTTACAATCCTTATATATCCAACCCCAAATTTTCTTTATTTTCAGTCATATTCAGCCGAAATAACAATTTCAAATTGCAATAAAAGAATATATGATGTTGATATGTTAAATTGATAACCATGTAGCATGAGAACACCTATTACACCATGAGTCATAAACTATCAAACATGCAACATACTGATAAACCAAATGTCGAACTTATCGGTATTGACGATAAACAGGGCTGTACATGCAGCTCTCTGCATATTTCACCAAGTTTTTGGGGCGAGGAAGATGAGAAGCCAAACCTGAGTATGAGATCAGAGTTAAGATAATGTGACCTCTATAAACATCAAAATGATTTTTCAATGATGTTAGTGCATGAAAAACAGACTAACCAAGTTCATATGCTTTGGCAGCAACTTTGGCAGCAATTTCAGCTGAAATCTTTCTAATGTTCCTGAAAGGCGGATAAATTGATCCGTTCTCAAGGTTTTCTTGTCTCACCTGTGAAGCCAGAGCTTCCGCTGTGCAGCGAAAATGGAATCAAGTTGAATGAATAATTTAGTTTATAAAGATGTTGTAAGCATGCAGTAAATATTTTCTGAAAACTTTCGTTTTTTTTTTCTGTGTGCTTACAAGCTGCAAGGAGCATGTCATCATGTACACGGATGGCTCCAGATATTATCAAACCAAGACCAAATCCAGGAAATATATAAGCATTGTTTGCCTGCAGGAATAAGAAATATACAGTACAGTAAGTATAAAGTTCACATTTTTTTAGATGAAGAAAATGGAAGAGGAAAAAGCTCAAACCTGCCCAGGCAGGAAAGTTTTGCCTTCGTATTCGACAGGATTGAACGGACTCCCACTAGCAAATATTGCTCGACCCTGCCAGATCGAAGAAATATTAAGTTTCAAAATAAGTTGTTTCAGGAACATGAGATTTCAGAAAAAAAAAAAGAAAGAAATTTACCTTACTCCAAGTGTAAGCTTCCTCAGCAGTGCATTCAGACTGAGATGTTGGATTAGATAGAGCTAGGATTATAGGTTTCTGCATTTTTGAGTAATGTTTTGAGTCTAGCAGTTTTGAAGGGCAGCTAACTCTGAATGTGGGGAAGAGAAGATACCTCATTGAAGGAAGCCATAGTCTCAACTACTTCTCTTGTGAAAGTTCTGCCCACTCCAGAAGATCCGATGAGTACTGTTGGCTTGATGACCTGCAAAATAACAATAATGGGGTTCAAAATTCATATTAAGCATAAGTTTACTCAACTAGATTGAGTAGATTGAGCTTATAATATCTCATAGTACATTAAGAAAAAGACATTGCAAGGAAGCACAAAAAAATGCCCAGTTCCCATGTACTTACATATCGAGAAAAGTGTTAAAATGGTCCCCTGACTTTTTGCAAGGGGTCGAATGAAATAGTCCACAGGAACTACTATTTTTGTCCCCATTAGAAATGTCTGGGGACTAAATAGACACTTTTATTCACTCTAGGACTAAAATTACCCCCTGCAAAAAGTCAGATGACTATTTTAAAATGGCATATATGTAGAAATTGAAGTTCGGGTGTTGAAGATGTAATATGTTATATTAGAAAATAATTTATTCCGATGAGAAATTATGAACAATAAATTATTTCTTTAGATTGGATTTATTTCCTTTCTTATTTTTTGTTGTTTTATATATCTCCAAACAATTAATATGAATTGATTAATCGGTAATTTAGGTGTTATATATTTATTTTTCCTGTTATTTCTTTTTATTATCTTTCCTATTCTAGGATTCATGTAAGTGTTATTTATAACCCCTTTCATATCAATAAAGTATTTCCGTATTATTCTGAATGCCAACATCGTATCAGAGCCTTGAAACTTCCTACTCCCTATAACCAGCAATCTTTGTGGTGTTGTTGCAGACCCTTCTTTCGCCTCCTTTTTTTTTCAGTTTTACCAGCGAAAACTTCATTTTTCGCAAGCCCTAACTGTCGAAACTCCTTCGTGCATGAATTTTTATGATTCTTCCTTTTGCCCACATTGCCCTTTAAGAAAAGTAGCCTGGCAAGGTATGTCGACCGAATCCAAAATAGGCGTTCCAATTTCTCTTATAACAAAGTTATTGGGCCTAAAATATTGGACGAACAATGGAGACTTGCAGGTCCGACACTGATGCTGTTGTTGATGACGATGATAGTTTGGGAGGCGGAGTAAGGTGCTGCAACGCCTGTAGTGGATGAGTTTGATATTTTATTCCATCAAAAAACGGATGAACATTTCAAGTGTGCCTTTGTTGGACATTTTTGAGGACATGCTTCATGAGTTAGAAGTAGTGCGAAGCAATCCAGACAGTGCAGTCCACGGCTTCCTTGCTAGTCACTTCCCAGATCTACTTAACAAGCCTATGCTCCATCCACATGTCAATGCTACAAAGCTTGATGGAACCTATGGTCTTCCTTCGGGAGATCAGATGGATGATTCATGTTACTATCTCAAGCTATGTTAGAGCATTCCATGTGGACCGAACAACGTGATAACCATTCGCAGCGCACCATGGCTCAAACATTCATATTGACTGTCCTGGCTAGTTCTACCATTGGGGCTTTCTTGGCAAGAGCAGCGGCAGGAGACGTTGAGTACAACACAGCTTTTAGTCATGCTCATCCAAGCTGCAGTATACCTTGGGATTATTGCCGTCACACGGTTAGGCCGTCTGAATCTATCAAATTTGTGCTATAACCAAAGGCCAAAGAAAAGTGTTGTCTTCCTCCACTCCATACTTGAGGCTGCAGTCGCATGGTCCTTACGACATACACTTCACCCATCTTTCTCATCCCGATAATAGTAGCCTGGCAAGGTATGTCGACCGAATCCAAAATAGGCGTTCCAATTTCTCTTATAACAAAGTTATTGGGCCTAAAATATTGGACGAACAATGGAGACTTGCAGGTCCGACACTGATGCTGTTGTTGATGACGATGATAGTTTGGGAGGCGGAGTAAGGTGCTGCAACGCCTGTAGTGGATGAGTTTGATATTTTATTCCATCAAAAAACGGATGAACATTTCAAGTGTGCCTTTGTTGGACATTTTTGAGGACATGCTTCATGAGTTAGAAGTAGTGCGAAGCAATCCAGACAGTGCAGTCCACGGCTTCCTTGCTAGTCACTTCCCAGATCTACTTAACAAGCCTATGCTCCATCCACATGTCAATGCTACAAAGCTTGATGGAACCTATGGTCTTCCTTCGGGAGATCAGATGGATGATTCATGTTACTATCTCAAGCTATGTTAGAGCATTCCATGTGGACCGAACAACGTGATAACCATTCGCAGCGCACCATGGCTCAAACATTCATATTGACTGTCCTGGCTAGTTCTACCATTGGGGCTTTCTTGGCAAGAGCAGCGGCAGGAGACGTTGAGTACAACACAGCTTTTAGTCATGCTCATCCAAGCTGCAGTATACCTTGGGATTATTGCCGTCACACGGTTAGGCCGTCTGAATCTATCAAATTTGTGCTATAACCAAAGGCCAAAGAAAAGTGTTGTCTTCCTCCACTCCATACTTGAGGCTGCAGTCGCATGGTCCTTACGACATACAATTCACCCATCTTTCTCATCCCGATAATAGTTCACCCTGTTCTCGGCTGGTCAACTTACTCGTTTGGCGCCGTCGCTCTGGTTTCCATTGCAATCAACTAGTCTCTTCTCTCGCCGCTCTTGGTCTTTACTGACTTGGCTTGCGATGCTGACAGCTATGGGGGTGATGTCTTATCCGTGGTACTCTGATGGTGTAGTGAGGGTGCAGGGTTGATATATTACCACCAGTGATGGCCTCAGATCAACTTTCTATACAATCAATGTAGTGATTTTTTTATTTAGTGTAGGTGTTTTTGTGGCTGCTTATATGGTGGAAGCCCATTCAAATCATTATCTTCTTGTCCAAAATATTTTTTGCAGGTGTCTCATTTCTTGCTGCACTTGGTTTCCTTCTTTACAATGGAAGGTTTTTCCTGACGTTGCAACACTTTCCTGTTGAATCAAAAGAAAGACGCAAGAAATTGCAAGAAATTGGATCTGCGACAACCATAGGCTTTAGTTGTTTCTTGATTAGATGCATCATGAATTCATAATGTCCTTCAATGCATTTGACAAAGCTGCAGAAATTGATGCATCAACCTCCTCTGGAGCTTTTCCTACAGCAGACCCTTTCTCTGGAGCTTCTCCTTACATCAGGCCCTCTCTCCGGGTTCTTTCCTACAAGTAGACCCTACTCCGGAGCTTTTCGTGCGGTTGACCCCTCCTCCAAAGCTTGCTTCTTTTTTTCCTTTTTCTTTTATCCTTCCTCTTTTTTCCGCAAGCTTTATCCTGCAACTTTTTCCTTACATGTTGTCTACTTCCCAGCAAACTCCCCTATAGCAGTACATATAGGAGCATTCCGTCTACCTACAGATACTGCAGGAACTGCAATAAAAAACAACCACGATTGTCTGCTTCACTGCAAACTCCTCTGCATTATTACCTGTAAGAGTCTTCCACCTACCTACAGACATTGCAAGAACTATAGTCAAAGACAACCGCAATACTGAATGAAGACATCAAGTTTTACCTCACAGGATCCTCCATGCCCATTGTTTTATGTTTTCTAATTCAAATTGAACATAATTTTCAATCATGCTTCAACTTAAGGGGTAGTGTTAGAAGTTATATAAGGAAATATTTTATTCATGTAAGAAGTTATGAAGAATAAATGATTTCATTGGATTTGATTTATTTCTTTTCCTAATTCATCTTGTTTTCTTTATCTCCAATAAATTAATATGAATTGTTTGATTGAAGGACCTAAGTAGTATATCTTTTCTATCATGTTATTTCTTTTTATTGTCTTTATTCTTCTATGATTCATGTGAGAGTTATTTATACCCCTTTTCATATCAAAAAAATAATTTCACATTATTCTGAATTTCAACAAAATACATAAGAATTGAGTGGTATCTATGAAATCATCGAAAAAAAAATCCAACAACCACATTCATATGTTATGAGGGTGTTTAGCTGCAAGTAGGATTTAACACTAGTAGGATGTAGTAAATCCGTAAATTATAAATCTGTTAAATCCACCATACCCTTGAATTTAGAAATTTGGATTTAAGATGAATTGAATGTAAAATTTGGAACCCTAAAGCAGTGTTTGGTAGCATGCTATCAATAGATTTAGCCACTGGATTTAACTTAAATCCAGCAAAACATAAGAAAATGAAACTTAAATCTAGAAAACATAAAAAAAAATGAAACTTAAATCCAATATTCCGTTAAATTAATTTTTTTCGTGTTATGACCACTTTTCTCGCTTTTCGACTTTTTTAGGATGTAAGTCCGAATTTAATAAATCCAATTCTAAGCCGAATTTAAGGAATTATTCCACCGTTTGATCGAGCTCAATTTCCATAGCCGAGATTCATTGGATTTAGTAAATCCAATTTAACGTAAATCCTTGTTGCTGCCAAGCACTGCCTAAATCCAAAAATTCATAAATCCAAAAAACTCCTGCATTTTCATGTCTGGTTGGATTTGGTAAATCCGGGGATTCTATTAAAAGGCGTTACCAAACAGCCCTCTATAAGTTCAATGAATAAATAAGAGGGTAAAATCCTGGTTATATCTCCATACTAGAATCTGAATTACTGACTTTCATACTTTGCTTAAAGGAAAATATCAATTATGAGGGAAGAAAAGTTCATCCAAGACAAATTAACTTGAAATAAATACAATGGTTTATATAAAACAAATAACAGCTTCAAACCTTCACGGCCTCTGATAGATCCTTAACAAATTCATGTTCATGAGCCCAAGGTTTTTTGAAGTGTTGTAGAGTTTCAAAACGTGATTTGACAATCAGGCCCTGCAAAATACAGTAAGAAAAACTAATTCTTATAACCATATTTTTTTGCATTTATATCTTCTCTTCTAAGCTCGACTGAATTTGTTCAGACCTTAGAGTCCACAAGCCAGATTCTCTTACGACAATCAGCAATGGGAGTATTTGTCTACGACCATATCACAATAATGAAAAAGATAATTTGTTAATACATCCAGCACAATTAAAAATTTTGAAAGATAATTTATGTAATCAAATTTGTGGAAAAGATGTAGCTATACCTGTTTTGACATCTCAAGTGCTATGAGTTCTGCTATCCCTGTACCAGCCTGTGAGTAATGGAAACATTGAAATGTTTTTAAAAAAATCGAACCATTATTATGTGTTTTTAAAAAAATCGAACATTATTATGTGTTTTGAGTCTTTTTAGAAACAAGCTGATTTATTTTTAAAATAGAAAATAAAAACATATAAAAATTATACTAACAAGATAAGACGTCTTTCCAAAAATAAATATAAAAACAGAAAGTAAAAGTTATGTCAGACGAGCTCTTATCTATTTAATACAAATTTGACATTTAACTTGAAGCAAAGAGGGGTTCCATGCAGATTTTTTACAGTACAACAGCCTTAAGTGCAAATATGGTAATCATAGAGGGGTACGATACACTCAGCCCAAAGAAAACTTGTACCATTATGAAGGAAAAGCATATTGGCTAATACGCATTTTAAGAGTAAAAGATGGCATGGTAATTGCCAACACATGTATCAACACCATCATAATTAAATATTTGTCAAATGAAGGCAACATACATAATATATGTTTAAAAACTTATCCCAAGATTAATAGACGTGGTTGGCACTAATTTGCCCAATATAATTCCATATAACCATTGAGTATACCCCAAATAAATTCAAAATTAAAAAAGAAAAAAAAAACTTGAAATAGCTATCTTAAATGATTCCCATGAATAGGTTCTATGGACTGCAACAACTATCATAATTCAAAACACAAAAATTCTAGAACAATAATTATAAGTATACCTCCCCAGCACCAAGAAACAAGAAAGTATGATTTGACAATTTACCACCAACCACCTTCAGTGCTGCAACTAACCCAGCTAGAACAACCGAAGCCGTTCCCTGTAAAATCATCAAATCCTTAGTTTTCAAAATGTAAATTTGTATAAAATTGAACATTATTATGAAAAATGTTGCAAAATTTTCAGAAGAAAAAAATGTCTTATTTCCTAAAATCACCTGAATATCATCATTGAAGACAAGATGAGTTTTGCTGTACTTTTCAAGTAGGCTAAATGCATTATGGTTTGCAAAATCTTCAAACTGAGAGGTGAATGAACATATATTGGAATGGACACAGTTCAAACCGCAGTTAGGATTTTTTAATTTTCCTGTGTTCTTGGACAATTAATATGACCAACCTGTATAAGCACTTTCTCTCCATAGTTTTGCTTAACAGCGCTCATAAATTCTTCCATAAGGTCTGCGTATTCCTGATCAAAATCATATTTTTTGGAGTGTCAAAGAATTGTTAGTCATTAAAAGAAACAACAAAAAGCCTTTAACAAAAATATTTAGGGGCCATTTAAGAAAAAATTATATATATATATATATATATATAGATTCAAAATAAAACATGTTTGGCTATTTCATTAGGCCTTGTTATGAGTTTTTTGCCTTTAATTTAAAAACATGTTCGTTTGGAGCATTTTTGCATGTTTTTATTTTGATTTTCTAAATACAAATTAGCTTATTTTTAAAAATATCCAAATCAACTAAAATTTATTTTGAGAGTTTTTAAAAAAACTAAGCATTATATATCATATCAGCATGTTTTGCTTAAAATCAAAACATAAACAAAAAAATAAAATAAAAACAAAACAAAATTCAAAAGTGATCTCAAACAGCCCCTTAAGGTACAAATGTATTTAAAAACACTCAAGATACCTAAAAATTGTTCTGGTTGTTTTCAATAACATGTTAATTTGTTTTTAGAAATAGAAAAATAAAATCACGCAAAAAAACTCACCAAACAAACATGTTTTTAAAAACAGAAGAAAAAACAAAAATATAAAATTGATCCCAAACAAGCCCTTAGGTAGGGGTGTGCAGTGTTTGGTTTTATCCCAAAAAGCAAACTGAATTGAGCCGATTTAATAGTTTGGTTATGAATTAAAAGTTTGGATTTCGGTTTTTAAAAGACCAATATTTTTTTTATTTTTTATATATCAAATATATATATTTCGATTTATATAAAACTGAACCGTTCAAACTGAATTAAACTTTGATATGATTGGTTCAGTTTTGTCAAAATTTTGTTTGGTTTGGTAGTTCAGTTTTTTTATTTCAGTTTAATTCCGTTTGTCAAATTTTAAAATTGATCCATCCGAACTGACTGAATGCACACCCTACCCTTAGGGGCCGTTTGGGATCTTTTTTTAGTATTTTATTTTTATTTATTTTATTGTTTTGATTGAAAATAAAACATGTTTAATTGAGTGATTATTTTTTAAAACACTCATAACATCTGTTAGGCGTTTTGGGTGTTTTTAAAAGCAAGTTTTTTGTTTTTAAAAAAGAAAAAATTACACATAAAAAATTATACCAATATAACAAGCTTTCAAAAATAAAAAAATAAATAAAAACAAAAATAGGTAACAAACGTGATGCCAAACATGCCCTTAGTAAAGGGCACATCAACAAAACTAGAACAGGGGATGCTACCTGACCAGTGGCGCGCTTCTGCCTCAACCCTATATAAAATTCATCTTTCAGTAACTTCTCATTGTTTGTTCCCACATCAATTGTGACAGGCAAGCACTGAACAAAATATAGAACAAAATATAAAATGAACCAAATTCTCAATAAAATGTCAATTAGCAGTACTTTAGTTCTATTTTTCATTACAAAAATTGCAAAAGGGGGTAAATTTAACAAAATTAAATTAAAGATGAGTACTTACTGCCGATGGGCGAAGACCTCCTAAGGCGGTATATAGAGAAAGCTTGCCCACGGGAATCCCCATACCCTGCAAAAATTTTAAAGAAGTTTTCACACATAAGAACGATTAAAGACTTCACTAATTTGTATATTGCTAGGCCTTATGATAAAATGTATGTATTTGTGTGATAATTGCAAATAATTGTGATAAACCAATGAAGATGTTGCTAATGATATATCACGTATATGTGCAAGCAAAATTCATTCATGTGTAGAGTTATATGCACAAAACATTAAAAACAGTACTCACATCTTCAAACTTCACTTTGTTTGATTGTGGAGAAATATGAGATATACATAAAAATTCCTACCATCTTCTTTTTGTAAGGAAAAAAAAAAATTAAGACAGCCAATGGCAATGAAATACATCAAATATTCGACAAGGATAAAAAAAAAAAAGCTATGACTAAACCGACATAGAGAGCCGGAGTTTTCTTCGTCTTCGTCGGGCAAAAATATGCTCAAGAAAAATGGGATAAAATGTAAAAATAAAATTAACACTTCAAGAGTTAGAGCATAGACTTTTTACAAGCTTTAAAGTCATATTCACGCATTAAGACAATGTTAAGAGTATTGTAATTACGATAATTATGCAAATTTTGTTATAGAGCCAGTACAAAAATAAATTTCTGGATTTTCCCCTGCTCGTAATGATGAATTATATTTTACAACTGCAGATAGATGTACATGCATGTGTCAATTATATACAACCTGGGAACCCAAATCTCCAAGTCCCAAAATGCGTTCGCCGTCGGTAACAACAATAGCTTGAATTGCTTTCTCAGGCCAGTTCTTCAACACCTCAAGAATCTTCCCCCTGCAAATAATTCATCAATCCAACTATCAACTTAAAATTCATAATATCAACTGAGAAGGTTTCCAAATTTGCAAAACCATACTTTTCTTTCAGACTAATGTAGAGCCCCTGTGGTCGCCTAAAAATGCTACCATATTTCTGGCAAGCTTCACCTACCGTTGGTGTATAAATAACAGGAAGTAATTCCTCAACATTATCCATCAGAAGCTTGTAGAACAGCTTCTCGTTTGACTCCTGCGGACAAGAAAGCATAATTCTATTGCTCAGAACCAATTTGAAGCAGATATTTCACAATTTGAAGGAAATAAAGTAAAAAATTGTAAAAAATGGAAACTTTAGAGTTGCCATTGCCCTACCTGAAGGTCCATCAGCGTCATATAACGTTGAAGTGGAACTTGATACTGGCGAAGATTGTGCATAAGCTTCTTCACCTGCAAAATAGATTCAGTAAAAATCAGAAATTGCGCAGCATAGACTACAAATAGCAGTAAATTCTATCAACTTACATATATGTAAAAATTAAAGTTTAGGTTTTAGATACGTTAATACATAAGAATTGAATGGTGTATATGTAAATCTTCCGAAATTTAATACCTGAAGCTCTTGAGATAAGCATGTTGGAGGTAAGAGACCTCTTAAGTAGTGTGCATCTCTTTCCTTTTCAGTAAAGGCAAGCCCTTTGTTGTGGTGTGGATCTCTTAATAATGAGTAGCCACTATGCATATTAAAAAAAATCTTACATCAGTTGTATATACAAATCAAAGATATATCAAAAAAGTATATATATCTACTTTAATTTTTGATTGAGAAGAACAGTTCAAAACCAATATGAATAAAAATCAAAACTTTCTTCTGCTGATGAAGAAAGAAAGTACGCCCATCATACCCTCCAAATGTTTACCTCATACAATCCAAATAAAAATGTAAAAAAGCAAAAAATAAAAATAAAAAATTTTTTAGCCAAAAAATGCTTGATTGTATTCCATTACAACAAAAGTGTCAATTCATCCCTGGTTCTCAACGATTTAAATGAGTTCACCAAACCAAATAAAAGAAAAGAAGGCGGCCTGGAATCGCACGAAACAACGTAGAACTACCCTCATAGCGTGCGGCGAAAGCCGACACAAAAAGAACGCCTTTTTTTAATAAAAAAATGAAGAAAAGTAAATGGCCCAAGTGACGTCAAGGTAGGCCTGATCACACGGAAAAGGGCAAAATCAAACGGAGAGAGCGTATCGCCCAGCTCTGAATCAAACGGACAGAAAAGTAGTCTGCCGGCGATGGAATCGAGGCTCATGAATGACCGGGTATAGGCGATGAGATCGGAACCTGGCGACGGAAAGGCTCCACGGCGTGATGTGATGATCCTCGGTGGCGCGATCCTCGCCGTAAACATCCTTTACTCCCCCGCCGACGGCTGATTTCGGATCTACTCTATCTGCCCCTCCATTCTTCTCTATCAAGATCTCAACTTTCCTCGTCTTCCTTTCACCCGCCGCGACACACCGCACCACTCCAGCCTTCACTTTCGCCGCCGGACTTCTCTGCGCACGATAGAAACGGCGACGATCCTCGCCATCCTGCAAAACAATAAAAAAAGGAAAAAATTGCTCGGAAGATGACAAAGTTCCTTCTTTTAACTTGATTTCGTGCTTTATCTCTGTGGTGGAGGAATAGAAATTAAAAAAGTGAATGGATTTTGCGGGGTGGAGTGGGGAATTACCAGAAACGTGGTGCGGCTGAGGGACAGCATTGTGTTGCGGTATTGAAAAAGATTGTAATTTTGCGCGACGGGGGAGAGGAACGTTGGGGAGGTGAGTTGCTTCCCTGGGCTAGTAGAAGTAGGAGGAGGAGAGAGAAAGGGGGGAGAGAGTTTCTGGGGAAGGCTAAGGCTGGACTGAGCTTCTGCTTGCTCTCTCTCTCTCTCTCCTCACCAAAATGCACTTCCCATGGAGAAGAGATTAAGAGCGAGGGAAGAGGGAGAGAGAGAGAGGGAGAGAGGAGGGAAGAAAGCTGGTATATACGTGTAAGTTGTACGAGCTTGTTGGATTTCTTTTTGCCATTTACAAACATATATGGATTAATGCATTTAATATGTAAATTTTATTCTTCATATTTGCATTATCTAAAATTTTAATATCATATAAATTTATCATTATTTTATTTTTTTAAGATTTTAATATATCTTTAATATATAAATAAGATATGTAAAAGTTGAAGTGTTGATTTTATATATATTGATTAGAATTAATCGTTATTTATGTAAATATTTTTTTTTCAAAGTAAAATTAGTAAATGTTTAAACTCATGTATTTTTTGTTGAAAATTAAATCCCTTAAAAATAAAAAAATATTACATAAAGACTCTGCACGTAGAGTTGCGTGTAGAATCCAATGAAATTACGCAAAAAAAAAAAACCGGCCCATAACACAGGGGAATATTCCCCACGTGTTATTCGGGTGTTATTATGTGTTATTATGTTCTGGAAATATTTTTGGTGTTATAATAACACAATAACACCTGAATAACACGGGAGGAATATTTATTTGTGTTACCGGGCCGATTTTTTTCTCACATTCACATGTGTGACTTGATTTCATTGGACTTCACACGTAACTCTACGTACAGAATCCTGATGTAATATTTTTTCCTCTAAAATAGTTTAACATGATAGTTTAATTTTATATTATTTTTTAACAATCATTAATGTTTTAAAAAATAGTCGGAATAAAATTACATATTAAGAAAAGCATGACTATTTTACATACATAGAACATAATTATGAAATTATGTATTTACATATCTCACATTTAAAATTTTATATTTATGCTTTTAATATTTTCGTGCCATCAACTTATACATGAAGAAATGTATTTCATTCACTAAGAAAATTAATAAAAATAAAAATAAATAAATAAATAAATAAATAAAATACCGAACGCAAACATCCATATTTTATGATAATATAAAAATTATCTTGAGAAAATGCAAAATTAAATAAAAGAATTGTTTCTTTTAATTAAGCCAAGCTAATCCTAGCCCTTCATCTTCTTCAAATGATGGGCCGGGTAGGTTTTGATGGATGGGCGGCAGCACGTTCTTCACACGGCCAACTACCTGAGCGGCTCTTTAAGAAAAAATGGCTTGGACATATTTATTGTTTTGTGCCGACCCTTACGTGCAAGTCATTTCTTATAAAAAGAATAAGAAGAAAAGAGCTATACTTTTACTTATTGAATTTATTCCAAATTAAATATAATATAAAGTTTGATTAATTTCTGTAAGTTATAGTCCTCTTAAAATAAAACAATGAATTTATATTAGTTTTTGTTGTGTGTTGGAAGATTTGTGATGACAGAGTAATTATTTAACATCTTAACGTTGCACGAAGATATAACACATGTAGCTAATATAGAAGTGGTAGGAGAGGACAAACAGACTTTTTACGTAGAAACTTCGAAAAGAGAAAAAAACCATAGAGTCTAGTCTAGTTAAAATAATTCATTATAAATGTGTAATTATAAATATAGAACATTGTCCCGCAGTGAAGAAAAAGAAGAGTAACAATACTATGTCAAGTACAACACTTGTGCGTGCACAGTGTACATAAAACTTCATAAGTCTAAAAGAAATAATTGTGTTTTAAATATTTTTTTTTCACATCACATCATTTTTATCGCATTTAAAAAATTTATAATTTAGAACGTCATTTGATTTTCAATCACGATTCAACCCTAATTCAACTTTTGAACCTTGAATATCTCCCAGGTCTGATTTTCAGAACCTTGATTTTTATATCATCGGGTTTGTCGAATAGAGGTAACCAATTTGACTATAAACTTATTAAAATTTTGGACTTGAATAATATTTAATTAGACTCTAGAATATTTTTTATTTTAAAAAAATATTGAAAATCACGTCAAATAATAAATTAATTTCAAACTTTGGTAGTCTAATGCTGACTGTGGGAATTGCCGTCCACTGGCGAGACTTTTGGATGCCTGATCAGATTATCGCAAATTACATTTAGGATTTTTAAAATTTGACAATTTGAACTGTCGGATAGGATTATGAGAAGGTGCTATAAAATTCTGATATAATAAATATATGTCTCATTATATAATTTATTATAGTCGGCTTGAAAATTATTACGTGAGGCCAACTTTATTATTAGGATAAATATTTAAAAAAAAAAAATAAATAAATAAAGTACAAGAATTGATTGATCTTTGTCAAGACACTCGATTTGACTATAGCCCACCATATTTGACATTAATTTGACCTCCAAAATATGCTTTGAAAGCTTCTAAAAGTTGTTTAGTGACTTGATCTGAGCTCAATTCGACTTGGATTGGACCAATTCTGATATCATTGGGTTCATCTCATCGAGCCGGTTTGTTGAAATCAGAGTTCTGTATGACATTTTATAAAGATTTGAACATTTATTATTGAAAAGATCATCTTGATATCTATGTCATGTCTCAAGATTCACACTAGATGATGAGAACTTATTGGAGGTGTATGAATTATTATTATTATTATTATTATTATTATTATTATTATTAAATTAAGACTTTGAACGGATTAAATCATTAGTATATGCATATCGCATGGAAAAGATATTTGAAGTGTAATCTCATTAAAAGCCAAAATTCTCAACTAACATAGTAATGAGACTTGCATCGTATTAGCAAATGTTTCCCATCATATAAAAAAGTCAAGAAACAAATAAATCTTTTAATTCAATTAAATTTAATTTCAGCAAATATAAATGTATTTTCAGTTCTATTCGTTAAGCAAATGAATTAAAAATTTATATTTATATTTGACTCACTAACTTTAGGAAACTGAATAAAATTATTATGACAATATATATATAAAGGCTATTTCATTTTATTTTAAAAAAAAAAAAAATTATATATAGACATAAACATATAAAAAAATATTTGCATTAATAAAAAAAGTTTATTTCTTAGCTTTATAAGATGGTCTCGCACAAAAAATAAAAGTAATTTTAAAAAATAAAAATAGAATGTATTTTTGTAGAAAATTTGAAAAAAAGAAATTTATTGAATCTATACTAGTTAAAATGGTCATTGTGTAAATGAGATTACAAAATTTTACTTGTCCTCCAAATAAAGAAGTTATGCAGGTCAGTAGATTGGTGATTGTAGAGTCATAATTTTACGTCTTAGCATTGGACGAGAACGAAGATCTAACATATACACAAATAAAGGTAAAGTAAATTGAGGAGACACTACAACTTTTATATGGAAAACCCTTGAAAGGAAAAATTCATGGCTCAAATTGGGAGAATTTTGGGGTCATTAGGTCTGTCCCATCGAGTTAGTCAGTTTGATAGTATGTTTACCGAAATTGAAATTCTGAATGATATTTCATGTTTGAATGTTTCTTGCTCAATAATTGCTTTGAGATTCGTGATAATCGGTTTGAAATTTTAGCCAAATGACAACATTCATTGATCACGTATCAAAAAGATAATGAGATTTTATGGTATAAAGTAGCACAAATCTGGTCACTTCTAATTGAAATGGTGAATGCTAGAGATAAATTGAATGATGATGACAACTTGCAAGCAGTATGCGTCAGGTGATGATGGTTAAACTATGACAATTAGATGATAATAATTGAATAACAAAAATGGAGTGATGATGATTGCATAAAATTGATCGGGCGATAATAATTTGATCAATGGCCTTGAGACAACAACAACTAATTGATCACAACAATTTTGGGAAAAAAAATATGATAAAAATTTGACCACTAATAAGAATTTTTTCATTGGAACATATTTCAAAACATCTCTGGTAGTTTTCTCGGACATAATATCTTAATATTGATGTTGTTGCATTCATATTTTATTATAGCACAACAAATCTAATTACATCAATCAACTAATATCTTTATGTTAGTGAAGAGGGACATTGGTCGAAGGACATTAAGAAACTTGAAAAAGGCGACAATGCCGTATTAAGAGCGGAGCATTAGTCGACAGCACGAGCAAAAGAGCTTCAAATTTTAGTTGGTTCCATATATTTGTAGTATTTTAGTCAATCTTCTCCCAAAATGAACTTGAATTTATTATATTCCAATCTTAAATTTATAGAAATCAAAATCCGGATGAACTTCTACAATAGTTTTTGAATTTAAATAATGGTGAATTGTTTTAATATATTCTATCAAATTAATTTTGAGAGTATTGTAAAATATAAAATACAATGTGTGTATTTATTTATTTATTTTCAAGCGTCATTTTCAACAGCATTTAATGAAAGTGTAATGAGCTTTATTAGACCATTAATGAATCCACCTAAAATTAGGAACTATAATTCAAGATCTGATTGAGATTTTGATGTCACTTTCATTTGACCATCTCAAGGTAGAAAAAAAAAGGAACATTTGGAATTTATGGACATCTAATTCTGAAGCGCTTATTCTGTGCAGACACCGGACGCAATTAAAATTTTTTTTAAAAAAAAAATTTAAACTCCGGCCCACAAGATACACTTTTGGTATGTAATAATTTTTCCCAATTCTGACTTGTATTATTATATAAATAAAGATATTATAAATGTTAAATTTTCCGGACATAGGGTTTAGTGTTGTTTGTGGATACATAAAACTCAGGAGATATCTGTTGTCATTTGAATAGTACACGTATGGCTATTAACCAGAAGGATTGATTCCACCAGAGTTTGTTTGGTACTTTAAAAGACTTGGCCTCTAGATGCTTGACAGACCCCTTAATGAAAGTTGATAGATATGGTTGGTGCGGCCATCATCTCTAACACCTTTAAAAGACTTATGTTTTAATTACCCCATGTCGTTCTTAATGAGGGATCAATAGATGTCCCCATTAGTCATTTTGGCTTCTTCTGTTAGTCGGCTTTGTTGATGTTGCTTCGCTTCAACTGCCTTCACTTATAAACTAAATTCAATCTCTTTGGTCGGTGGGATTAGTTCAGTCGCTTCGGCGAATAGGCTTAATTCACCACTTCCGCACTTCGATGGGTGGGCTCAATTCCTTATGGATCAGCTCCCCCTTTCATTTAAATATTTGCGCAAACAATAAGAATCATTTTAAAATTTTTTATGTTTTTATAGTTAAGTTATTAGTCTTGCATAATTTAATTTGATTTTATTTATTTGCTATTTTGTTGGCATGGGTTATATGATTATATCACATGTTTGTTTTTAAGAATTGTTTATATCACATGTTGTTTTTTTTTTTTTTTTTTGATTTGTTAATTTAAAAAATCTTGTTGTCATTTACATATGTTGAACTCAAATTTATACTTTGGTTTGTGCACGATGAATAAAGCGTAGAATCTCAGCGAAGGATAAAAAGATTGAGATAAGGAAAAAATTACCCCGGTGCTCCAGACTCTTTGGCCTCTTTTATTCTACACAAATAATATTACAATGTGAATTTGTGGAGCGAGAGAGCCCACCTTTTTACACACGTCAAAGGTCCTATATTCATAGAAGATGGTAATGAGAAAAATAGTATTACAATAATACATCTGCTTTAAGGTGAGTGGTATATGATATTTTGGTCATTTTGTCATTCTGAAGCGTTGGAGCGTGTCGACGTTGGGTGGCCGGTTGGAGCTGGATGACCGAACTAGGGGGGCCGACCCAAGGAGGCCGACCTAAGAGAGTGTGTGGCCAACCGAAAAGGGGAAAATATCTACTTGCGCGCCTCCGGCGATGGTTTGTTCTAGCTCAACGAGGTGATATTTTCTGACAATACATAAAGCTCCTAAATTTTTTACTTCTTGGAGGGGAACCAGTGATAAGAATGAAAAAAATTCATTAGTGCACAATATAATTTTTCATGAACCATTAGCTGGAAGTTTTTTACCCGTCATTCCGTTGATCTTTAATGAGAATATTATTATTGGTTAAGTTTTTTAGACATTGTGTTTGATGGATCGATTAACTTGTGCCGGAGGAGAGCCTTTGTTCGCTCATGTCGTAGGAGTGGCTTTGTTTGCTCGTCCTGGAGCGAGGCTTTATTGCTCGTCCCTGATGAGAGTCTTTATTTGCTCGTCCCAGATGAGAGGTTATGTTTGCTCGTCATGGAGGAGAGTCTTTGCTTGCTCATCCCGGATGAGAGTCTTAAATGAGAGGACTCTCTTGGAAAGTGAGAGACTATTCATTTTTTTTTTCGTTTCCTTTATATCTTTTCACTTACATTTTTGTCTTGTTTCTCTTTTTTTTTTCTCTGGTTTGTGGTCTCCAATTTGGAAGGCCCGTTCATTTGCTGGCGGCACAATCACACTCAATGCACATTTTAGGGTGTTGAACCTTAATTTGTTATTTGGCTCGTGCCTGAAACTATATTATTTACAAATAAAGCACCCTCTTTTATTCATTTTTTAAATGCACAATTAAATATCAAAACTCATATAAAACCTCAACTCATAGATTGGGTAGCTCAAAAAATCATACGAGTCGTTGATTTGTAAATAGCACTTTTTTATGTCCTCATATAATTATCTCAAAATTGCAACCCAAGGTTGTAATATCTTATGGGCCGCACTAACAAATAATCCATAAATCGGGCACATGATTTCACTTTATAAAAATCGAGCCAAATTATTCAGACACATCCGAAGAAAACTTGGAGAAAAAAATCATTTATTTTTTTGAAATAAATGTTTTATCTTAAAAGGAATATTTACATGCAAAACACTCGATTTCTATGTATTTGCATATCTAATACATAAATTTCAATTTACCTCTCATCTTATCACGGCTTAAAAAGACATATTTCACTTTTTAAAAGTTAAATATGAGAAATTTTTATATGATATGAAAATTTTGTGTTGTATAATTGTAAGAAATAAAGTATTTGTGTTATATCTAAATACATAAGAACTGGGCGGCAGGTAAAAAATTTGATTTATAATGCTTTTGAAATTATTTTAATTCATTTTTCATCAAGATTTATGGAGTAAGGTATAACTATAAATAAATAAATTAATTAATTTTAAGTATATAAATACATAAGAATTGGGTGGCATTCATGTAAATTGGGTTGTCAAACCGGCTTGTTGTTTGCAAACAACTCGTGTTCAACTTATTTGCTAAGTTAATGAATCGAACACGAACAACACGAAGAAATATTTATTTGTTCGTGTTCGGCTCGTTTTAGTTCGAAATATTACTAATAAATTTTATATATATATATATATATATATATATATATAATGAGTTGTATTTTTAAAAAAATTAATTGACTACAAGGCTACAAAAATTTATAATTAATTTAAAGTATTAATTAAGAAAATAGAATAAAAAATATTAAATTAGATTCCAGTGATATTTTAAATCTAGTCTCAATTCTTAACATTTTATGATTACGTGATTAGGGTTGTCAAAATGACTCTTTATTCGTTAACGGCGTTTGTTCGACTCTCTATAAAAACAGAACACAAATATATTTTTTAAACTCGAAATATAAACAAGCGGAACACTAATTCGGCTCGGTACACCGCTGTATGTAAATGCCCCATAACAATAACAAGGCTGTTTTGTCTCTTTGGCCAGCGGAGCCATCCCCGATCCCCGGCAGAATAGGTCGGTTCCTTAACGGCAACCAGCTCTCACCACTACAGATTTCGCCATTAGGGCGCTCTGGCAATTACTATATGAGAATTAGAATCTGAAACACTGAAATTAAACGAGATAGAAAGAGGTCGGAGAAGAAGACACCAGAGATATGAGTTTCCGCCCTGAAGCCGACGCAGGCCGCGGCCAAGAGCTCGACGACGACGGACGCCGCAAAAGGACTGGTAGAACATTTACACACACCCACCTCTCCCCTACCGATCTTCCTCCCATCAATCGTTTCTTTTAAACGTTAATGCGTGCGTGAATCTTTCACATTATGGAACCCTAAATATAATTACAAAGAGAGAAATAGAGAAATCCACCACATTGTATAAAATATTTCAAGAAGTGGTTTTCTATGAAGAAATTATGCCGCAAATGATGCAAAAATTGATCAAGCATGTACGCATTAGAAGGTATTGATGTGAATGCATAGTTTGGTGGAGAGCAGAAGCCGGTTGACAGTGTGTATGTGGCTGTTCTTTCACTCATACCACTCAAATCCAATGTATTTACATATTAGACACCTAAACTTCGTTTTTTACATACATACCATCTTACTTGTGCATGAAAGACTGCATTTCACTTTTAAGAGTTAAAATAGTCTTTTTTTTTTATCTGCTATGAAAAATTTCTATGTTTTAGAAATGTTAATGCATAGGTATTGGGTGGGGGTGGTATGTATTTAAATGCCCCCCAAAAAATTGTTCTTATTAGAACAGCTTTATCACAACTTCTGCAAAAAGAAATTGCAGGGATCTTAATTATGTATTGAAGCACACAAAATACAAGGATTTCCTTGAACATAACCTCTCACAGACATTCTCTCCTCTTCTAAGCTTTCAATTATATATTCCCACTTGTAAGCTGAGTTTTAAATGTGAATTAGTGTTCTCATTACAAGAAAAACTAAGATAAACTAATTATGCTTCCCTTAATTACATGTTTTAGGCACACTATGGACTGCAAGCTCTCATATTATAACTGCTGTAATTGGCTCTGGTGTGCTTTCTCTGGCATGGGCAATGGCACAGCTAGGCTGGGTTGCTGGAACCATCACTCTCGTCATCTTCTCAATGATCACACTCTTCACCTCCATCCTTCTCAGCGATTGCTACCGCACCTCCGACCTCATCGCCGGCAAACGAAACTACACTTACAGTAGCGCCGTGAAATCCTATCTCGGTACATCTTATATCACCACTCCATTGTCCCTCTCAACTATGGTAAATCCTTGTAGTTGTAAAAGTTTCAAATTCTCACTTTTAAGGCACATTTCAAATATGGATGTGTGGGGTCTGCCAATATGTCAATCTTTGTGGCACGGCCGTCGGCTACACCATCACCGCCTCCATTAGCGCTGCGTAAGTTCACTCTAACATCACAACACATAACCTAAACATTAAGAGAGATTGGTGATCTAAACCGAGTGAAACGGACTGCTTTCAGGGCTATTACCAAGTCTCATTGTTTCCATGAGAAAGGTCATGAAGCTGACTGTGGAGTCTCATACACAATTTATATGATGGCCTTTGGGGCAATCCAAATTCTGTTTTCCCAATTCCCTGACCTCCAAAACATCTGGTGGCTTTCTGTTCTTGCCGCCATCATGTCCTTCTCATATTCGATCATCGGAATCATACTTGCCCTCGTACAAATAGTTTCTGGCAAGTATCCTAATTCTATTGATGCATCTCTCTTCTAAGGGTTGTAAAAAATTGACTCGACACAAACTCAACCCGAACCTGACTCGAAAAATCTAGATTTTGGTTGACCCATATATTTTTGGGTCAGCATCGGATTAGAAATCCTAGCCCATTTAATTTTTGGGTCATGTTCAGGTTGACTTGCCAACTCAAAATTGACACGCCAATCTCAAGTTGATTCAAAATCGACCAACCAACCCGAAATTGACTCAAAATAGGCCCGAATATGACCTAAATTTGACCTGAATAATTGCTACCCTTTAATGTTAAATGGGTTATATAGGTCGGGTTCTAGTTAGCGGGTTGTGTTTGGATGGACTTTCTAACCTGTTTAATATTCGTTTCGGGTGTAGTTCAACAGTTTCGGGTCAAGTCAAATTCAGGTTGTTATCTGCCAACCTGACCCGAGAACCCGATCTGACACTCCTAATCTCTTCTTAGAAATGTATTGTTATCACTCTTGAGCAGGGAACAATGGAAAAACCACAATTACTGGAACAATTGTTGGTGTTGATGTTACACAAACACAAAAAGTGTGGAACGTGTTCCAGGCGCTTGGAAACGTCGCATTTGCATACTCGTTCTCCATGGTATTGATTGAAATACAGGTAAAGTTTCCAATTATGAAGTGACCTCATATATGCATAAATGAATCGTGTCATGAATTTGACCTCAGACTACTTAATTAGGACACACTGAAATCACCGCCGGCGGAAAATAAAGTCATGAAGAAAGCCAGCATTATCAGTGTGTCGATAACGACTGTGTTCTACATGCTCTGTGGCTGCGTCGGTTATTTGGCCTTCGGCAATAAGGCTCCGGGGAACATGCTCACCGGGTTTGGGTTCTACGAGCCTTTCTGGTTGATAGACATTGCCAACATCTGTATAGTTGTTCATCTACTTGGTGCATATCAGGTTTGCCATTTTCAGCGAGAGCTAGAAACAACGTTTCCATATACAAATGAGCTAAAGCTCTAACTTATGATCAACTCAACAGGTCTTCTGCCAACCTCTTTTTGCCGTCGTCGAAGATACAGTCATCAAAAAGTGGCCAAACATGAAGATGTTGAGCAGTGAGGTGACCCTCGTAAATGTGAGATCCTTTTCCGTCTCGGTTAACATAATCAGGTTGATTTGGCGAACTATATTTGTTGTGATAATCACAATGTTGGCCATCATAATGCCGTTCTTCAATGACATAATGGGATTCCTGGGAGCCTTTGCCTTCTGGCCGTTGACCGTATATTTCCCCATCGAAATGTACATAAGTCAGAAGAAAATAAGATGGGGTAGCGGCAAGGGTATGATGCTGCGGATTTTAAGTTTCTTGTGTCTGCTTATTTCGGTGGCAGCAGCCATTGGTTCCATTCAGGGAGTCGTGGTCTCACTTTGTACATATGAGCCATTTCACACAATGTCATGAACAGCCTTAGCCAGGTATTTTCCGTTCAATTTATTGGAAGGACATAATGATTTAGAGAGATATTTCATGGATGCCACCATGGTTATGATTCTTTGCAACACTTTTCGATCTTGAATGAAATTGATAGTGGTTCTCAGAAAATTTAAGCAGATTATCTCATGTTTGTAGGGAGCATCAAGGTAGTTGAATTTTATTTATAACTTGGAGAAAATGAATTTGCTATGCAAATCATATCAGTAGATATAAAACAACAATGGCTGAAGTGTTATGATGAAGTAACGAAACCCTAAAAACTAACAGATGCATCCTCAGAAACTGAAGTGTTATGATGAAGTAAAAACAGGGTGTAGTATGTGCAACATGCCATTATCCATCTAAATTTGGTTGAGGAAAACAAACTCATCAAGACATAGTTACCTGAACTTTGGTAGAGAACTGTAACAAATCATCATCTTCATTAGCTCTATGCCGACTTCTCAACTTTGGCTTAAAAAGAATATAATGACAGCAAATTATTATTATTATTTTTTTGGGGCGATTAAGTAATTGCATAAGGCATAAGATTATTAAAGATGCAATACTGATGACACTAAAATGCTTATGAATTTAAGTACGATATTCATCATAATTTATAAACAACATTAACAATAATTAGTTTCTAACAGTATCTGCCCCACCTGTTTCTGAAGGTTTCATCAACAGCCAGACCTTATTTGCTGGCAGTGCTTTTAATTGAGTCTTTTCCAACCAAATGAGAAACCGTGATTCTTTATTGTTAAATAATTAGAAAGGATGCCTATATGACTTAAACCGGATAATAAATGGCACGAAAGGTAAATAATTTTTCATAGGATTTGGTGGATATGTAGACTTCTTTTTAATGTTTTTAATTAAGGCCATAGTTATTCAAGCCAGAAACTAAATCCTAGTAGAACCTCAAATCAGAAATAAAAAAAAAAACATGATAAACAAGATCCTTTCAGTCATGCTTGATTAGCATAACCAGGAACCATTTTGTCTCAATTTATTGTGCACTTAAGTATAAAGATTATGTATTAAGATTGAAAAAACACGAGTGACAAGCAGCACACAGTGGGAAAAAAATCATTTTTGCTCGGAGAAATAGGTGGAATCTCAGTCCAACAAAAACAAATTATAAAATAAAGCATAGTTGGCATTTGGCAATATAATCCATTAAAGCCAATTTCTAGTCATTATTCAAGCTCATCCATGCTTCAGTACAATAGAGAAAGTGGGTGTAAAATTTATAGAACACCGATGCTAGCAAAACTACTATATAAATAGTACAAAGTGGGTGTAAATACTATAAAATAGTATAACACCAACGCTAAAATAACAACTCTACAAACAATACACTGTACAGAAATCAGACTAATTACATTAATGAGTCGATTTCACAAGTAATATTCACAAATGAAAATGCCAATCTGGCCTATTGATGTCTTCAGAAGAGATTACTCCATAAACAGTACACTGTACAAGAACCAACCCACTCCATAAACAGCACACTGTACAGAAACCAAACCAGTAAAAATGAGTCGATTTCAACAAGTAATAATCGCAAGTGAAAATGCTAATCTGGCCTATTGGATACAGTCTTCAGCTGTCTTCAACAAGGAATACATTTGTAATACAAGCTTGCATTTACCCGTTTGGGATCATTTTCATTTTGGAAAAATTACATACATAGCACCCCATTCTTATAGATTTACCTATCTCACACCTCAACTTTCATTTTTACACACATAGCACTTTACCCATGTATAAAAAGATGGATTTGACTATTTAAAGGTAATAATGAGTGTTAATTTTCATTTGATGCTTATAATTATGAATGAAAGTTTAGGTGTGAGATATGTAAATATGAAAATTTTGGATGCTATGTATGTAAAAATCCCCTTCGTTTTTTGTTTTTACCTTTATGTTTTAAAACACGTTTGTTTACTGAAATTTTTACATGCTTTTAATTTTTATTTGTTTAATGAAATTTATTTGTTTTTAAAAATACTCAAAACTAAGTAATGAGAGAATCAAATTCGCCTAAAAGACTATAAAACATACAAAAACAAAATAGATGTAGAAGGCTTTAACAAAATTGTTAATAGATGGCAATAAATGTCATAGTATAAGGACTGTCTGTTAGAAGATTTCAAGCAGGATTTAACAAGGATTTGAATTTAATCTTACCAAATAACCATTTTTTAGGCATCTAAATTCCAATGCCCCTTAAATCACGTTTTTAGCTAATAAGCTTCCCTCATATCAATAGTTCATCCTCAGTCATCTCTTGCAGAAAAAGTGACACACTGCCCTCTCTCACTGTCCGGTTGCTAGAATCCCTCTCATCTCACCTCTTATCCCACACCTAAACTTCCTAGCTCACCATTTTCCACCTACTTCCCTCCATTAAAGCTCTCCATCGGCTTTTTATGGCCTCCCTCTTCACTCTTTTTTGAATGAGTGTTTTGAAGACTATATATTAACAATAATTACAATAAATTATTAATTTAGAAGAATATTTTTTAAAAGCTTGTTGCATACAAAGTAAAGTTCTAGCTAAATGTATAGTCTTATAAAGTGAACTTAAAAGACACTAAAGTAACTGAAAACAATTAAAACACGTGCTTATAGCATGCAGAGCCTAAAACTAAACACTACTATTTATTCAAATTCATCACCACTTATGTCATCACCTCCATGATTAATTTCATGACCTTCAATCTCCTCCTTTGTCCCCTAACATTCATTCTCTTCTCCAACACTCACTAGTCTAGAACTTGAAGCTTTTGCAACTATATTTGATCAAAATTATTGTTCTTCTTTCCTTGTTTCTCCAACTCACATCAACTCATGCCAAATTTTAATTATAGGAAAATGTTACATTTTGCTTTTTGAAGTCTTAGTACTCAACTAGTAATCTAGTAATGTTGCACATCTCGGTGTCTGTAGCATTAATGCAAGACATTTGTTGAGGTAGCATCTTAGCAATTGCATCTTCTTGAGAGGTTTATGAGGCGTTATGGCCTCAACTCGCCTCACTTAGGCGACTAGATAAGCACTTAGCTTGCTTGTAATAATATTATTCAAATAAATAAAAATGCATCAATGAAGTATCAAAGTTTTATTTGCAAAAATTTAAAAATAGAACACTCAAAATAGTTCTTCACAATGATAAAGCCAAACGAGAAACAATAATGTTATATGATACTTTTTTTTTATCTAAAATAGAAATCATCATACATCATAAATAATTAGAAATTACTAACTAGAAATATCCTAAATATATTGCTTCTTGACATTTATTGTATGAGAATTTCATGGTAGAAAAAAATATAATACAAAAACTCAGCGAGTTGTCATATTATGAAAATGTTACAAAATGAAATCATTACTAAACTTGCTAAGCACATCCCTCTCAATGTGTATATGTATGTGTATATGTTTGTATGCATGTGTGTGTGTGTTTTTGTGTGACATACATACATTCATATATAGCCATGCAATCATCAATCAAAAGTGTCAACTTTGTAAATTTGCTCTTGGAGGTTAAAGTGACTGTGAGATTACGAGTTTAAGTCCAAGAGATAGTCAGCCAGGGATGAGATCATGAAGGAGAGTCATAACCGACAGAAACGGATTAATGCTTAAGAAACAACTACTATGCGAGGATATGGGTGTAAGTACAAGACAGTTAAGAAAATATCATGAAGAAGAGTTGGAACCCATAGAGATGGGATTGATGCTCAAGAAACAATTATAGTGAAGACAAAGAGAGAGAAAGGAGGGGGAAGTGGATATGTATATATATATATATATATAGAGAGAGAGAGAGAGAGAGAGGAGAGAGAGGAGAGAGAAATTGTATAGACATGTAAATTTAACTTATTTCATAAACCTTTTTTTTTTTTTGCTTACTTATTTGTTATTTGGTCCTTAATTGCTATGTTAATTATCAAGTATGAAACAAATTCTACAACTTGCAAACTCAATGTTAACTTGTAATGCTTAGAAGTTCTTAGCTCTAATCTTTTAAATTGACAAAATACAGGGGGGACAATGTTCACCCATAGTTTGACCAAGCCAATCAATTTAGACTCGAGTCTGCCCGAGTGATTGTTGGTAGTCATAGATAATGATACATCAAATCAATGTTCTCAAAGTAACATGCCGAATACAATATTGCCATGAGCATATTGATAGAAATAGATCAAAACTTGATGAATGAAAGCAATTATAAGGAAGATTTTCACCTTTTTGTTGAGTTTGATAGAAACTTGGGACAATGTCATCGTTTCCATCTCTTTTAGAGAAAATTGCATGTTAACATAACCCTAAATAAATGCATTTGTATGTTTAGAACCACAGAGTCAATTGCTACCAAATATTAACTACAGACTTGTAAGAGCAAATAAAAAAAAAAAAAAAATGTAATGCACTGATCTCTAAACCAGCTTCCATCTCAAATACAACAATGAATGCCATCAGGCAGGCTTTGCTTGAAATTTTTGCTACCAAGTCATGTAATGCGCTAAAATATGTAAAAGCGTTTTGTCAAACTTAATAAAAGAGGGTAAGTTCGCATATCCCCATGCTTGATTTCAACAACCAGATGATAAAAATTTTGACGAATTAACTTACATTTAAAAGATAAAAATTTAATGCATTTGAAAGAGACAATGTGATAGGAATTTAGAACAGGATTTTCGGCTAAGAAGAGGGGTATCATCTCTTTAAGGACTATCAGAACAAGTTTCACTCATTTACAATAAGAATAAAAAATCACAGAATTTCCGATCTTCATATGGAAATTGAACAACGATAATCTCAGCAGTACAAAATATTCACCATAGAAACCAACAACATAATACATGGATACTGAGAAAATTAATCCAAATCACACTGTTCTTTATCAGTAACCAATGCTAGACCAAAAATTGCAAAAATTTCAAGGCTTTAACATTTGGATCAATGAACGATTCATAAAGAAAAGGATAAAAGGATTTCAAAAGACATACCTTAACATTTGGATCAATGAACGATTCATAAAGAAAAGGATTTCAAAAGACATACCAAAAAAAAAAAAGACCCACATTCCCCGAATTCAAAAGAAGC